TCACGGACATACTGTACACTCATAGATCACTCAGTAGCATTCAACAGCCATGGATGAGTATTTATGTAACATACAACAAGGAGGGCACTGTTTTTGTGTCCTTTATGCAAACAAAATGCAAATAGTTTTCGTGAGTGTGACAAAGTTGTGCAGCATGCAAATCAAGACAGGAACCCTCACTTCACCTGTGGCAGTGTGAAAACAGCGACACCACCACAACCCCACCCTAACAGACACAGATCCTTTCTCACCACTTCACACAGCAAGGTCACAAATAAAGAGCCTGGCCCACACCATCCTCTAGTGGTCAGAGGAGGCACTGTACAAAAGCTGACAGTTTTCCATGAGTGTCACAGAACCAGGTGTAGTCGCACAAATGATCTTTAGTCTGATATGTATATTTAGCCGTGGCTTCCCCTTAACTAGACTAGAAGGGTGTGTGTGTGTGCGTGCTTGTTATACCACTCAACAGCTAAATTACATCTACAGCCTCCCTCCAGTCAAAATACATCCTGATTATTATTACTTCACCTGGATGTTTTAGATTTTTGAGTTAAAAACAGTTTTCATCTGCTGAAAGTTTCTCTTTGTGCTCACCTTAAATCAGAGTTCAAGACGTTCACATATGAGCCACATTTTGTCGCATATACAATTAGTTTGGACATAACTTATCGTCCAAAATGTAGCTTGGGACACGTGGGACAGTTTTGCATACACTGAAAATGTAATTTAAAGTATAACTACAATTTTTCTGTGTAATAATAGCAATAGAAATATTACCTAATGAATTCCTCTGTCAGTATGTGTTCTGGATTTCGGATCCTTTTATTAAACAAATACAGCAATGAAACCATCTAAAAATACTTTACTCTACAGGCAAATTCTGGTTTCAAAGTCTGACAAAGATATTTATAGTATTTTCAGACCTGTACTGCAAAACAACAACTGCACTGCAAGAGTCTGAGGTTTGATTTCCTCACTCTGGCAGTTTACTCATAAGAAAGTAAATTTGCATTTTGTAAATAAAACAGAGACTGCATTATTACTGACGTTAAATAAATGTATTAAATATATTTAAATACCTTATCTTTCTGGCATGAAAAAGATTATGACTTCCAGTGAACTGTCACAGTAAATCTAAGAATATCTGACACTGAAAGAGTTATTTTCTAACATATAAATCTCCCACACTTATTTACTGACCCTGACTGTAATTGAAGCACGTACTGTAAAAACAGGGCACACGTCCAAGTGATATCCAGATAAAATTAGCCTCCTTGAAATTTTTTCTGAGGCCGGAAAGAACTTTACAGCCGTCTCTTTAGGGACAGAGGCTCTTGATAAAGCAGAATTATAAAGTAGAGAGAAAAAAAAAGGAGACCGTAGTCCAATGTCCTTCTCATGCCGTGCATTTGACTCGGATTTAGCTGATTGAAGTATGGAAAACATTCACACTGCCGCCCTGCTATCAGGATCATAAACGGGACAATAACTCATGCTCCTGCACCATCGGTTGGTTATTACACTGACTGGGAACTCTGGTGTAGTTTGTGGCAAAGTTCAGCAAAGTCAAGTCAATGATAAAACCCATTTAGACAGATGCAAAGTTCACCCGACTCCACTTGTATTTAAAGGAGGGAGGGGGGGGGGTTCCTCCACGGTACTTCAGTGGATGAGTAAGCTTTTCCAAAATATGTTTTCCCATGCAGGAGAGTGGCTAAAACACAAAAGACTCGACAAGACACGACAATCTGTGACTTCCAACAGCCAAGTTCTTGGCCAATCTATAATTCCACTAATCATTTCTGTGCAAAGCACTTGCAGCTTGTTGTTCGGGCTCATGGCGGGTGATATGGCTGCGATGTGAAACAGCCAGTTAAAGACATCTAGGAAAGCAGTAACAGATATTATCATCACGCTGCACAGAATCTGATCCAAGAGACCTAACAATAAAGTGACTTCCTTTCCAAGAAATAATAGGAACTCGCCTTCCAGTTCCCATCCCTGTATTCATGCACTAAAATATAAAGTCTATGGGAACTCTATTAAAAGAAGTTTGAGACTTTCTGAATTGTCCTCTGGTCAGAGAGGTTTAATAGTGACTTTGTTAATGTACTACACCTACAAAATGTTCCAGTGACTCAGTGATTCATGACTTGATTAGTGGAAACTTTCTGATATCTTGCATGACTTCAAAACTATATCACGTGGCAGAAAATACTCATCACAATGTCATAGATCACAAAGTGTCGTCCTTTAAATTGCTAATTCTTGCTAACATTTGAAAAGCTGGGAATACAAAATGTTTCTTGAAGTAATAGAAGCTCCTGCACGCCAGAAAAGGAAGATCAGAAACTCTGACTAATAAAGAAACAGGCATGTATGCTTAAAAAACGACTTGAAACTAATGAAATATTGTCTAAATAGTTTGTGCAGTTCGACCAATGGATTACTTGTCTGACAAACTCCTCACAAATATAATCCACTAATCAAGCCACTTTCCAGTCAGCAGGTTCACTGCACCAATAAAGAAATGAAGTAGATCAGGTGATATGTGTACAGGGCTGTAACAGTCACTTAATAACTATAGTTTTAACCGATCAACTCATCAAGAAATCCTTTAATTGTCATTTCTTCAACTGACCAAACCTTACAACTGAAAAGCAAGAAATCTTGTGAAAGGTGTTTGAGTTCTGCAGAACCTTTCCACAAAGCTGTAACTATGTCTTAGATGATCAATTGTCAGCAAGTGTCACACGACAAATACAAAAGCTTTAAAAAGCTATAAATATGAGTACAAGTGAACGGCTCCGGCTCTAAACGAACATGGCAGCTTGTCCAGGATGAATGTGAAAATGAAAAGTTCCTCATGGCTATCATTATTCAACTAAATACCCGCAGCAAATACAAACAGATAAAGTGACCCAGATTAGAGAGCATACGTTGCCTTGAAATGTAACACTATTTGAAAGGTGTCCACTTTCAGAGGAACACAAACCACCTCAGTCCTCTGGCATGCAACAGGAGTCCGACTGGAGACCTGGAGAGTATAAAGTCCCGAAGGCCTCTTAAGAGAAACCAAAAGTGGCCTGTGGCTCGTGCTGAGGCTCCTGGGTGGCAACAGTGACAGATACTGTAGCTGCCAAAAATAATTGTGACCCTGTAGCGGTGAAGAAAGTCGCCCAAACCCCATATTAACATGCTGAACTCACTGTGACACAGGTCACACATGCTGTATAGTTTTCAGCACTGGCTCATGGAAGAATGTATGACACTTCCCCGTGTGACTTCATTAGGATGAGCCATTTCTTCCTGTGTGTAATTACTGAGGGCTGTTTACTCAGGAAATTAAACTGATGGCCATTTATTATATAGAGTAGCAAAGCACTGTGTTGTTTACGGTAAAGCAGAAACATGCTGAAGTGGAATTACGAGCCACTGAACTGAGAGCGGTTGTTTTTGTTGTAAATGTACAGACAATTAAATGTTGTTTTCCTCATTAGTGTCTCTGGGACGAGTATGTTTCTGATCAGGAAATATAACCGTAGCATAGCAGCTAAAAGCAACTGCTTGTCCTTTGAGGGTCGCAGGAGGACAGGTCACCAGTCTATCACTCGGCTGAAACTCCGAGATTAAAAAGTTCTTAGCTCACATCTATCTCTTTGAACAGTGGCTGGAAGTCGGAGTACACAGATGAAAACCCTCCAGGTAAGAGAAGAACATGCAAACTCCAGAAAAGCTCCAGCATTACCGCCCGTTTCTATTCCTTAAACTTTATATTCTACTGTTGAACCTCCTAAACAACTCTCTTATATACTACACAATACTGATACAAAATACTATTCCCTACATTTGTTTCATAAAAACTTATGTGCACTATTCACTTTAATCAATCTGTGATTTTTCTTTTGTTTGTCCTTGGACAGATGTCATACTACACCACAGGGCACTGCACTATACTATATTCGATCCCCAGGTGTGAAATTTTGGATATACTATCTTAAACTATACTCGTCTGTACTATGATGAAGGATGTTTTTCCATTTGTTGTCTCAAAAAGTACACTTTACTGTACAATACAATACATTTTCAGAGTAACGTGACCTAATACCTAAAAGATAAGTGGTCTCTACATATTTGTCTATACTAAAGCCTACTAAACTGTAATCTTCAATGCACTATACAACACTTTACTACACTAGACTACAGGTCTGTATGCTACAGTAAATTCTACTCAACTAAACTTTATAACTTGCTGAAAATAACTTACTTTAAATGTGCCACAATACGTTTCTTCCTGTTGCTAGTGGACAGATGGACACATGACCAACAGGTCAGATCAATATGAGGACTGTGACTACTCAGAGTAAAAAAAGATAAGTTGTCTCTGTCTTTCTATACAGACACTGGACTCCACTTTACTTTACTACAGGACTCTACACTCTACTAGGACAATACAGATGGATTTATTTGAAATGACTTCATGCAGATGTGTTGATTCAAACAAGAGACACACTTACAGTAAACTGTGCTATCAACTAAAGCCAAATGAAGGACACCATATATAAGAATATACAGTATTCTTACAAGCTAAATGGTCCTGTACTACATCATAGCTCTACTATACTGCAAAAATGACACAATGGGGGTATTTTCTATTTACTACACCATGTTGTACTACAGGAGTACTTCACCAGACTAGTATTTATGGTAGTGGTAAACATGGCCCTGTGGCCTGGAGCTAACCGGCCTCAGTGAACCAGTGTAACCTGGAGCTCAGTGACAGTCTCTACATTAAAGCCGAGTACACGAGGAGGCTGGCGGGACATCAGGCCACAGTCTGAACGTCCATCTTCATCATGTGTCCCCGGCAGCCGCAGGGGGTGAGTCTCCACAGCTCAGCCGACAGATGTGGCACCAGGCCTCGGCACAGTGTGTGGAGGAGGCCGGTGCGTTCAGGTTTCTAACACACAACACAACAACAACAGAGAGGGACCTACCGAGCAGCAGCAGCCGATGAGTCCGTTTGTACTCCCGCTTCAGCTCCTTCAGCTCCTGGTCAATATTCTTACTGACTTTCTTCGCATCCTTCTCGGCCTCCTTGTCCTCCACCAATTTGTCCCAGTTTTTCTGCTTTTGTGCGCTTGTCTTTTGCAGAAGCTGCAAGCGTCGGCCACGGTCCTTCCCCGTCCCCTTACCGCCGCCTCCTCCACCGCTACCACCGCCTCCGTTTTGTATGAGCACACCGTCGGTGCCGGTGTCTCCACGGCGGTGCTCCCCGGCCGGGAGCCTGGCAGGGTCCCCGGGGCGCACCGGGCCGCCGCCGGCGCGCAGCGACGAAGTCTCCCCGCATCCCCCGGTGTCCTCTGGGCGAGCTCCCCCGGCGCGGGTCGGCACGGCGGCGTCCGGAGGCTGGTCCGAGTCCGAGGTGGCGTTGGAGATAGAGCCGCTCAGGTCCCCGAAGAGCCGGGGACGCAAGCTGTAGCACAGCCCCATGTTGAAACCAATATGTGTCTGTGAATGGGATTTCTCATAAATTAAAATATCCACAAAAATCGCAGTGGCGCCGCCAGCCCTAACGAGCCATCGTCACATTGGAGCTCCAGCAGTGCGAGTCAAGTCCGGATCTGAGGCGAAAACGTGAATGAATTATGCTCCGACATTTGCTATATGTCATCTTGCATTTTCCCCCGTCAGCCTCCGCTCCGTGGTTAGTGGATCACCTGATCCTTTAGTGGACACTGCGGGTCCACCTTACCGTAAGTAACCAAAAGCACAACCTTGGAGGAAAAACGCGTCGATCCGCTGCGCAGACAGTCAACAATCCTCCTGCACAGCTGTTAGGTGCAATGCGCGGCTCGTCATCTTACTACACTTTGGCCATTTCCAGAAAGGCTGCTCCGGATTTTCATGTGTTTAAAGCCTCCTGCTGCTCCGTGGTGAGTCTGTATCTGAGCCTCGAAACCGAAGAGAATAAAAAAAACAAAAAAAATCTGATTTAAGCTTTAAACACAATTTTTAGTTAATTCACACAGAGATTAATAAAAAAAAACAATAATAGCATTAAGTACTAATCCTTAATCCTTATGTAATGTCTCTTTGACTCAGTTTTAGCATAAATTCGTTCATATCAGCCTGTTTTTTATTATTATTGTTCTTATCATCGTGAAATTTTATAAATTCCGGTGAGTAAGATTTAGCTGAAAGGATCACTGGATATAAAATAATCCTCGTGTGTTTCCTTTTTCTAAATTGTATGAATTGTTGTTTTCTTTACCGTTGAATGTTCCCTTTATATTTAAATACTTCCTGTTTACATTGGGAGTGGGTCCTCTCTATGGAGGCAGCCATGTTTGTTTTACAGGAGCCCAGACTGGACAAACTAAACCTTTTGAGTTTATTTCCACAACTGAAGTTCACCACAGGTTCTCAGTCGTGTTTTGCAACTTCTCCACTAGATGTCACTACATTCTACACACTGAACCTTTAAGTGATTTCATAATATTGTGGATCACTTTTTTAGAATCTAAAAGTTCCCAACACGTGGGCTAAATATGAAACATACCGTCACACAGTCTGATGTATAAAAACATTTAGACATTCATCAGTCTTCTCCCCTGGGCTTCACCAGTGATTCAACACCATTATGTTATCGTCCAACTGTGGATCATCTTGATTCAAATGTTATATAACCAGGCTCCTGTGAGAAATGTATAGTTAATCAAAGGTCAGGAGAAAAAAACTGGGATTCTAAAGGTCACAGGGGCTGAAGACACTGTCAGATGCAGAGATGGAAATGAACCACTAGATGGCGCAGTTATAAAACACATGTAAACAGATTTGAGAGTCAGGGGCCTTCACAGTATCTCAGCTGTTTACTTATGCAACAACAGACACGGATTAAAACGTCTGGTGGTTTTGATTCCCTCTAATATTTATATCAAACTAATGGAAGTCATGATGGTTTTGAATGATTCTCACTGTTTTATTACAGTACATACATGATAGTAACCTAGATAACTGCACATTTGAGCTCCAAGTGTGAAATATTAATAAGTAATATGTGTTATAGATCGGCACTATGTCAGAGTGCAATTTAAAAAACCTTATCATATTTATATACATTTTGTTTTAAGTTGCGCACACTTGTGGATGTTTCTAATATAAAACAGCTGATTTCAGCTAAGTGGGGTATTCCAGGTTATCTGGTCATGTCCAATGCTAAAGTATAAAGTTCTATATTGATTTATATGTATATCTTTATTTCCTTTTCTTTCTTTCTCTCTACAAAATTCTGTAAAACATTCAGGTGAAAGTTCATCCTCAACAGTGACAAAACAATCCCATCACAAGACTCCATTATTGGCTTTTCTGGGGCTTTTTTTTTGTATCACATGATTTTGCTGATGTACTTTGCTGATTAACTGCATGATAAACTTTAATCTTTGTCTCTGAACACTTCATGGAGTTCCTTGAGTCTGAAAGTTCCTTCTCAACCTAGGAAACAAAGGTTTGATATGTTGAGAAAAGTTGAATGGACCTAATTCTTTAAATTCATCAAATTAAAAAAAAGGAAATGAAAGTTTCTATATGATGTCATTTGGAATCTCCATATTTTTGAAGATTATGTGATATAATTCCCAGAGCAACCAGGCAACTAAATGTAAAATATGATTATTCTTATCACAAAAAATATAAATATGACACATTCTCATATAATTTCCTTGTAAAATCTCACGTCTACTATTCCTATTATCACATCATTTATATATAAAATATCCATAATCAAATTTTTACTGTAAATGATTTTTAATTTAAAATAGTAAAGTGTATTGAACACATTGTACATCATACATAATTCAGCAGGAAGTAGATTATGATTTATTGTCATTTTATTTTGGAAGTCTCTGCGTTGCCAAGGACCCAGGAAGCCGTCCCTGGCAACGGAGGGAGCTGAGAGCATCGGTGTGTTAACATCAACAGCTCGGTTTTATCTCTGTGGTAGGTCCTGTGCTTCATTCTTACTTATATCATATGTTAGACTCATTAATTAGTAAAACTGTCTGTTTAGTCCTTTGGTTGAATTCTATGTCTGTACAGTCTTAATAAATGTGAATGATAGACATTGGTCAACATTATTCTCATTATTGAATCATAACATCAGTATTTACTGGTTTTCTTTGTTTTCCATGATAATATATTGAATATGTCGTCTACTGCTTTGACATTTTGGAGTCTCAGAAATTGTCATGGATAATTTTCACTCTCTTCTACACTTGTGATAGTTTGCCTCATCTGACCCGAAGTCTTACGTCAGTTCTAAATACTCTGGCCCTAATTACTTCAAGTCTAGCCAAGGTGTACTTTCCACTCCTGTCCGCTGCAAAATGTAGGTTAACAGAAAAGAAGTAGATAAAGTAGCCGAGCTAGAAGAATGAAACCTGGGTTGACCACACACGAGAAGAGTCTTCCAAATGGCAGTTTATTGGGGATATGCTATGGAATGCAATACAAAACACAAAACGAGTACTTGAACATACTCTGGGCCAACAAATATATTTATTTATTTAATTTAAGTCTATGTAACAGTAAAAGAGACAAAATGATATATTCTTTGCTCGGCAGCTCTATACTTGAAGCTTTAACACTGTTGAAGGTGTATCTCAGAAACACGTGAGTACAGATCAGTTTAAATACTTCTAACACCTTTCAGGATCACCGTCTCACTTCTATGTGACCAGTGTTGGACCAAAGCAGACAAACCCCTCTGCTCTTGGATCAAACTCCTCAAAATATTCTCGGTTTTTCAAAACACAAAAATGCACGCTCCTGTTTTTCTGACTCAGTCTGCAGCTTCTCCTCTGCGTCAGCTTCCTGGCACACATTCTTAAGCTTGTGTTAACTTTAATCCACTTCCCCCTTTTCCAGTGCAGCGCCCTTCCTCTGTCCGTGAAGGCTTAGCTTACAGCTCAGGACAGGTGGGACACCGTGCAACAGGCAGGATTGTCTCAGCGTCAACTTTCCACTCTCCCTCCCCAGGTGAGACGTCTCCATCTTCTGCAGAGGGAAGGCCGAAGGATGGATGCTGGTGTTCTTCAAGGCCTGTGAGTGAGCTTGCAGTGGCCGGAGGAGAGAGCACAGCAGAGGGCAGATAAGTCGTTGATCTGTGACTGGATGCTGCCGTGCTCACAATGACGGACTGCAGGACTGTGTGGGACGGTCAAGGCTCCTCGTTGCAGGAGAGGCTGGGCTCTCTGTGGACCATGAACCGCTACACCACTCTGAAGCAGCTGGGGGACGGCACATATGGCACCGTGCTCCTGGGAAAGAGCAACGACTCCGGGGAGCTGGTGGCGATTAAGAGGCGAGTCTGGCTCCGACAGACAGCAGAGACACACTGGGAGGTTTTGTGTCCCAGTGTTGAGATGATTAAACCCTGAGCGGCTGCTGCAAGGAGCTCAAACGTGCTGTCACTTGTCACTTGGCACACATGTAGGACAGAGATGATCTTCAAGGCTTTTGTCTTTGTTTGCATCTCGTTTAAATGAAATAAACTATTGAAATGATATTTAAATATTTAAAAAAATCACACATGCAGTGCTTTAGTAATTTTTCTCACTTGTCCATAAGCAGTATATGTCATGTTGAGCTTTTTAAGAATCTCTCTTTGGTGAGAAATTAATAATGAATGTTTTACGAGGCTCCACCAGGCACTGTTTGTAAATGTAAGGTTACAGTGTAAACTGATACGGGTGATGACAGTGAATGGAGTGAAAGTGCACTGTGTTGCTCTTAGAGTTTGGGGAGGGTATAATGAAAATAAGGCGACAAAGTGAGTTTATTTAAGATTATATTTTGCACCTATATTCACTGTGTTTTGATTTTATATTAGAATAAACCCATATCAATAAAAACAGTTATTTTAAATACTGACAACTGAAGAAACTAGTCTCTAAACCAGTACTAGTTACTACCACAGTCAGAGAACATGGTAAAGACACACTCTGACTGTATTCAAATATTCGCAATAGCATGATGACAATATCTTCTTTCTCAACAGGATGAAGAGGAAGTTTTATTCATGGGACGAGTGTTTGAATCTGAGAGAAGTGAAGGTGAGATTCATCATTATTCATGGTCATGATACATTTTATTTTGAAATATAGGACAACAACGTCCCTTGTAATTATACTGTGAAATCAGAAACATCACCAACTCAGCTACTTTTTTATGATCATATTAAAACATAAGTAATTATTTTCTGCTCCATTCATCTTCAATTACATATATACAGTAATACATAATTCAATATTCAAGAAAAATCTGCTCATAATTAAAGTAAAACGTATGTTCAATTGTTGTTGGGGGTTTTTCTGTTCAAGCTGAATGAAAGAGCTGATTTCAGACACGACAGCCTTTTTGGACATTTTAGATATTTACTGAGAAGATGAGGTGATGTTTAATGTGTCTATGATATTAAACGTGTCTCATAAATACTTTGTGTTATCAGTCTCTGAAGAAGCTGAACCATGCTAACGTGGTGAAACTGAAGGAAGTCATCAGAGAAAGCGACCACCTCTACTTTGTCTTTGAGTACATGAAAGAAAACCTCTATCAGCTCATGAAAGAGCGGTGAGAACACGTCGGACATGTTACGTGTGCATTTACACCTTCATTGAGTCATGTGAGTTATTTCGGTGATATAATCCTGCCGTGTGGGTTTCATTAGCGTCGGGAATGTGAGAATTATTTGGGTCAGCTTGAGTCATAATGTGTCAGTCTTTGTTTTTGCAGAAACAAGTTGTTCCCTGAGTCAGTCGTCAGAAACATGACATTTCAGATATTACAGGGACTGTCCGTTGTTCACAAACATGGTAGGTGACTTCAGCGAGGCCTTTCAGTACAGACGTGTGAAAATATCTCTTCTTTAAAGAGTTGTGTTGAAAAGCTGTCAGCTGTGTCTCCATGCACAGAATGAATGGACTAAACAGAAAACAACATATCCAAACATCTCTCAAAAGTGACTCACTTCTCCTGTGTGCTCCTGTGAGAGGAACAAGCCAACAGTGTTTTTAATGCATGTGGGTGTTGATGATATTTCAATAAGGCTTGATTGTTTGCATAGTGTATATTTTCTTTATCCTCTTTCCTTCTTTCTGTCTCTCGTCTTTTCCCACTTTGCTGCTGCCAGGGAAGATAAGATGTTTTCTGAAAATGAGATAAGGAACATTCTGTTCCAAGTGTTGTCTGGTTTAGCATTTGTGCATAAACACGGTAAGAGACTCCTCCCGTCTTTCTCTTTTCCTTAAACACTGAAAAACTCTGATACACTTAATGAATTCTGTTGCAGTATAAATTGTAGTGGTTGTTCTAGTCGTGGAAGTTTTATTTGACTGACTTGTGTTTTTCAGGGTATTTCCATCGTGATATGAAGCCGGAGAATTTGCTCTGCATGGGTCCAGAGCTGGTTAAGATTGCAGACTTTGGACTAGCAAGGGAAATCCGCTCCCAGCCGCCTTACACTGATTATGTGTCCACGAGATGGTGAGACTGTTTTTGAAATTGTGTTTGTATCCATATAATTCATGTAGATTAAAAAAATTACAATACACAAACTGAGGTGGACGTTTGATCTGAATCTAACGTCTGACTCACCGTGACTCCGGCTGTAGAATCAATTAGACTAGAAGATTAAAGATTTAAACAACCAGGGGACGTAATTGATGCTGACAAGGGAGAGGTACAGTAAATCCACTCGGGGGACAGGCAGGAAAACAGACAGACCAGACAGTGGATAATCAATGTTGTCATTATTTTGGCTCGTTAAGCTGATTTCCTCTATTTATCCTACATAATAGCATTAATCTGCTACCTCCAATACTCACAATGTCAATGTTAATCTTCCTGACAATAACACAGTAGAATACGTCTTATCTGGTTTAGGATTGTTCACCTCTGGTCGGACAGAAATTACAAATTCTTTCATGCATTCAGTAAAAATGTGTGTTTTTGTTTTTTAATAGTTGGTTCAACCAAATTACAAATAAAACCCAACACATCATGTAGTTCTATATAGTAGAGCAATGATAGCAGAATAGTTCTATATAAAACATCTGGATTATCCAAAGTATCCAAAGTGCTGTTATATTTTTATGTTATATTCTAAAAGTTGTGAGAACACAGAAAGATCAGAGACATTAAACCCTGGGAAAATAAGAATAACACTATCTGCAGGGAGAGATAAGACACAAACATCTATAATGTATAAAATAAAATAAAGTGAATGATCCTTGAAATGTAGTGAACTGACAAATACAAAGTTATGAAAAGTTCAATTACACTAGAACGTAATGTTCCATAAACATCTCTCTGTGTGGATCTTCCAGGTATCGGGCCCCAGAGGTTCTGCTCAAGTCCAACTCCTACAGCTCACCCATCGACATCTGGGCCGTGGGCTGCATCATGGCGGAGCTGTACACCCTCGGACCTCTGTTCCCCGGCAACAGCGAGGTGGACGAGATCTTCAAGATCTGTCAGGTGCTGGGAACGCTGAGGAAGGTGAGCCCCTTTACATTTTCTAAAGGAAATGTTAACTGTGATTCTGTGTTTGATATTGTCACGCATGCATGTGGACTGACAAACTCACAGACGATCTACCTGTCGTCTCGTCCCGCTCCTCCTCTCGACAGTCGGACTGGCCTGACGGCTACAACCTGGCCTCCTCGATGAACTTCCGCTTCCCGAAGTGTATCCCCACCAGCCTCAGAGCCCTGGTCCCCAACGCCAGCGACGAGGCGATCACGCTGATGAAAGACATGTTGAGGTGGGATCCAGAGAAAAGACCAAGTGCTGCTCAGGTACATCTAAACCTCATGTTTTAACATAGGTTAGTTTAATAATCTCAATCTTGAGCTTGAACATTCGCTAAAAAGTTTTAACTTTAACTATTACTTTGCCATTTGTGCACCAGGCTCTGCGGTATCCATACTTCCATGTCGGCCAGGCACTTGGAGCTCCTCTGAAGTTCTCAGAGCAGCACAAGGCCCGGACGAAGATTTCCGAGGCGGCTACAGAACCAAAGCCTCTGTCCCTCTGTGAGACGGACCTGGAGCCCAGCGAGCAGAGGAAGACCCAGGTGGAGCTAAAGTCCTCCAGGCTACCTCTACACCAGCCTCTACAGGAGATCCCTCTTCCTCAGGACAACACAGATCCAACGTCACAACAAGCTACAGCGGGGCGGCAGCAGCAGCAGCAGCCGCTCAGCCTGGTGAAGAACCAGCAACCAGTGAGATGGAACACAAACATCTTTCAGGCCTTTTAGAAATGTTTTCCCTCCTGATGTGTTCACATCAAAGCTCAGCATGATTATCTCAGGAGAATGAAACTAGTTTTAGATTTTGTTTTCTCAGGAGAATTGTCACAGATTTTGACTTTACAGTTTTGGTAACACATTAATCCTCTACAGCAGCGAGGGCCGGCTGCTGGAGCTGAGAACATCGTGTCTGGAGTCAGGACCGGACGTAGACGATGGGGTCAAACATCGTTCAAGCCAGTCGACAGCTGGGACGACGGTGACGACACAGGCGCTGGAGGTTCCATCTCCAAAAAACCCACCATAAGTTCTCTGAAAGAGAGGACGCTCAATGGACACGGCTGTCGGTGAGAGAACTTTTTCTTGAAAAGTGTCGTCATCATTACTTTTGACAAATTACAATAATACCTTTTTCTTTTCTAGATTTCCGGAGTCAAAGAACAACACAGTAGCTAAGTTCCCGAGTGGCAGCGGGCTCAAGAGAACGGACTCCACCTCCTCATCTGCCAAGCAGCACTACCTCCGCCAGTCCAGGTATCTGCCAGGTGAGAAATAAAAATATCCTCTGCACCGACACTTTTCAAATGGAAACAATTTACAAACAACTTTATAACTCCAGCGATGTCCGTACTCTTCATATCAGAGCTGAATCTAAACAGCGTGTGTCAAAGTCTCATCAGATTTAAAGTTTTACTTAGGATCAGGCATTGTGAGTTTATTGTGAGTTATCTTTTTCAGGCATTAATCCAAAAAGCAACTCCTCAGGACGAAGCCAGGTGACCGGCAGGAACCTGTGGGACAACTCTTGTCCAACCAGAGGACGGGCCCTGGAATTCCATCTTAATAAAGGTATTAAATCATAAATCCAACTAGAATTAATATCTCAGTTATGGGTTTGTTGGGAATTATGATGTAACATTTAAGGCGACCTTTGACCTTTTGTTTTGTCACCTTAACGTTTAAACCTACGAACTCCGAAATCTACTCAGTTCATCTTCGTGTCCAATTTAACGTCAGTGCTGTGTGATGTGATTTCTCAGATAAGCAGCTTCTGAAGGAAAAGAACCTGGAGGAAGTTGATCTTTCCAAAGGTATCACTCAAATTCACTATGCAAGAGACAGTGGCAGAAAACAACTAAGTCCCAAGTACTTGAATTTTACTTTGGGTATTTATATCTTTGTTACTGTTTTAATCTGGTACATTTAGTCTGAAATTTACATTGCAAATTATGATTTTACACAAAAATAAAGCATAATCAGGTTGTAAAATGTACACATTTATTTTATTTGTAATTAATATTAGTCAGTTTTAATGGGTTTTATGAGTAATTTGTCCCTGATTGCATTTGAAACATCAATCTCAACTTAATCTGTTTGAATAAAGGATGAAAAAACCTTTTTAAGAATAAATCAAATTAGTTCCCCTTTAGCCAGCAGCAACATTTAAAGCTTTTAAAAACCACATTTAAATATCAATCTATTGGCTTCATCCTTTGAGAGTAGTGATGTATTTCTAAGTAAATAACTTTTCTCCGCTGTTGTTTTGGAAGGATTTGGAATGATTCTTTTAATTGAATGTTTCAAACTGTAGAGTAGTAAGAGTACTTCTTCTGAAAAGTATTACTTCTTCTACTGGAAATGTCCTATGTGTGTATTTTGAAAACGTTGATGCTGATATAATCTTCAGTAGAGTTAATATGAGCAACAAGAAAAATGTGGAGGACGTCGTCAGTGATGGATTTCATTGTATTTTCCAGACTCGTTAATGAGCAACAACCAAACCAAGACAAATAAATCAGCTGCTCAGAAGAGTGAAGCGGCAGCAGCTCGACTGAAGAACACGCCGATCGAAGGCGACTCTGCAAGTGAGTCACAACAGAGACGCCACCTCTCCAGTCAGGGTCAGACAGAGCTGGATTGGTTCAGTGTGGTTTGGTATCATTCAGGCGTCGTGACCACGTAACCATGACGTCCCCGGCTCATTTCTGGCCTGAAATCACTGCCATGTGTTTATTTTCTCTTATTCTTGGTTTAATGTTTTTTTTAAAAAACCTTTGACTTTCTCTTCCTACATACTGTTAAAAAAGCGCCCCCTGCAGGTGGAAAGGAATCAGTATTTTCCTTCTGTCTGTTTTCAATCAACCTAATCTGAAGCCTTTTGAAAACCGTAGGTGATTTTTGTTAAATTAACCTTATTTCTCTTTGTGAATCGTCTAGTTGATCTCTCCTCAACTGCTGATCTGAGAACTGATTCCAAAACCAGAATGTGTAAGAACAAGATCTCTTCAAATAAACTGGCCCCCTCAAATGAAGGTAAAGACAAAACGATCTGCATTACGATCATAAGAGATGCAGCTTCACGTAGCTTTTTAGCGTCTAAACAACACTTTTCATTTCAGAGTACGAAAGGTGGAGGAGCAGATCTGTGAATCCTCACATCTCTGGATCCAGCAGCGGCTCTGCGGCGAACAAAAGCTCCTCACGGGGCACAAACAACCAGCCGGTGCACGGACGAGTCGACTGGGCCGCCAAGTACGGAGGCCACCGGTAGCACCAGTGACTCCCACTGCACTTTCACCAAACAGACGCCCGATGAGACACGAGCAAAGTAGTTATTTTTGTATTGATGTGAATGAATGTTTTATTTTGAAGGAGTGAAAAAGTGCAGATATAGAGTTTATTTTCTTATAAAAGTACACAGATAGGTTTAAACACAATTAGCTTTGAGGGTTTATGTACAATGGAGCAAAGATAATCTTTCTCATTTCTTTTCTCCAACAATTGCCAGAGGGGAATGCATGTTTTGTACACAGAAAATATACATTGAAGTATGTTCAGGATTCGTGAGGCCTGTTCAGCATCGCAGTTATGATCCTCACCAGCATCAGTCCGCTGAAAGGAGATGAAAACATTAAACCAGGGGTGAGTGAGAATTGACGCCTTGTGGTTGTATGTCTGCACCAACCACAGCAGCTCCAGACTCATCACGTCACTGAAATCTGACCAATTCAATTTTGAGTCAAGGTCACAACTGGTCAAAATTTTGAGAAATTCCCTGAAGGCAGATTTGAGATTTCATGTTCAAGAGAACATAAACATGTTTTCGGAGGCCTCCATAACCTTTGACCTTTCACCACCCGGGTCCAATTAGTGAATCATTGAGTTTATGTGAAGATTTGTGCCAAATTTGAAATTATTCTCTCGAGGCATTTTTATGATAAAGTGTTCACGTCAAGACAACGTCAAGAAAACAAGACGTCATTGAGATTTTGTGTTTACAAGGTTGGGGCAGGCGGGTGGACGAACAAAGAGACACGAAAAAGATTCAAGTCATTTAAAGCAGCATTCTACAATCTTCATGTTGTGAATATAGTTCATTATCATTAACAGTCAGGATGTATTTAAAATGTGAATGATGGTGTTTTACCTTAATAAAGTCATTAAACCTGCCGGCATGAACTTCCAGGAGTTGATGAATCTCAGTCCCATCACCACAGTGAGAGTTCCTGAGGTGCCTGTGTTTCATCAGACGGTTGTAAGTGTTTGTGAACGCTGCACTCGGACTGTCGCAGATTAACAAACTAAACGTGCTCACCCAGTGACAGCCAGACATTCTTTGGATTTTGAGATGCCAGATAAGCACCGACCGCGGCCAAAAGGCCAAACAGGAGCCCTGCAGCCAGAGAGGTGACGCTGCCTGAGGAGCAAACACACAACTCTTAGCCTTCTTTTTAAAATGCAGTGTTGAGTTTAGATCCATTCACTCTTTTTTATTAACCCTCAACTTTTACTTTGGAATCCGACCATCTACATTGAACACACATTTATCAGTTTATTAGGAACACTGGTCTATCATTGAACAGCTCTGCTAAATATTCTACCTCAGTGTCGCTGTGTTCAGTTTGAGTTTCCAAGTTATTGTAATTTGTAATGTTACAGGTTATTTAAAGTGAAGTGATTCATGTTACTGTGTTTCTCTCCTACCTGCTTTCACAAAACCAATGATTCCTCCCGCTGACACCAGAACAGCATAGCTGAACCCGATCCAGTCCAGAGCCATGACCACAACCAGAAGCAAAACCAGATCTAGAACTTGAACCAGAATCAGATCTAGAACTTGAATCAGAACTATAATCCTATCTAGAAATAGGACCAGAATTAGGTATAGAACCAGAAGAAGAATCAGTTCTAGAACTAGAACTTGAGCCACAACTACAATTAGATCTAGAACTTGAACCAGAATCAGATCTAGAACTAGAACCAGAACGATAATTAGATCTAGAACTTGAACCAGAATCAGATGTAGAACTAGAACCAGAATTATGATTAGATCTAGAACTAGGACCAGAATCAGATCTAGAACTGTATCTAGAACCAGAACTAGAATCTGATCCAGTACTTGATCCAGATTATTAGTGTTACAGGAGTGAAACGTCAACACTTCACGTCTGTTGAGTTTAAAACGAAGAAGTCCAGAACATTTGTCAAAGGTTTCATCGATAAACAATAATCTGAAGAGACAACATTTCACTTCACCTCCTTTTCTCCAAACTTCCCGAACAATTACACTTCCGGAGTCATACGGGAGAACTTCAAAATAAAGGTATGCTCCACAGGATACACAATGCAGTATTTTTTGTAGATATTTTTCAGCAAGAGAAAATTGTACATAAAACACACATGCACACAAAATGTGTATTTTTTCTCATTTAGCACACCTTGTTTGATTGCTAATTTCTGATTCATTCAATACAAAATTGTT